TTTAATCGTATAAATACCCTTAATTTTAAGAGAGTGAGAGAGAGAGAGAGAGAGAGAGAGAGAGGAGAGAGAGAGAGAGAGAGAGAAGAGAGAGAGAGAGACGAGAGGGTAACAGCTCTTAGCTTGTAAATAAAGTTAGGAACCTTAAACCTAATCTTGTAAAATCCTGTGTAAATAAAAGGAAGAGAGAGAGAGAGAGAGAGAGAGAGAGACAGACAGACAGAGAGACAGACAGACAGAGACAGAGAAGAGAGAGATGAGATAATGATATCAGTTTGAAGGTAAACCACCACATATTCTTGCCTTAACCTCAAGATAAATACAATTGATTGTCAACTTTGTCATCTAGCCCTTGTGTAATAATTACCATGGCTTATGAGCAAGCGTCTCTTGTGCGATGTAATTCCTCGTTACACGATCATTATCCTCTGGTTTACGCACGAAGCTAATCGGCTCGTTTCCCTTCAAGACAGGTGCCTAGATGCCGGTGAAGGGGTGTTGCTCTAAGGAACTACTGGAGTCTTCCTTCTTCCCTAGGATCAAGTTATTCGCTACAGTGATGCTACTTAGCAGTTTCTTCTACTCTCATTTGCAACTCTTTTTGCCAAACTAGTACTTTCTCATATAGTTTCTCAGTTTGAATTTAACTCATCTTAATTCCATTGTCTTGATTCTATCATCGTTAGATAACCTAACCTTTTTTAAAGGTTATCTTCCATTTGCATATTTAAATATGTCTTCCCTCAATCTAAGGCCTTTTTACCCTCCAGGAGGATCCCTGTCGCGGTGAGGGGGGGCTCTTGATCCAAAGACTTGGACCAGCCCTCCCCTTCTATGGACTGTACCTGAATGCATCCCATTCCCTAGGAGCTGTGTGACCCCTTCAAGTTTAATGCTGTACATAAAGTAATAATAATAATAAAAATAATAATAATAATAATAATAATAATAATAATAATAATAATAATAATAATAATAATAATATAATAATAATCGACTTCTTTCAAGTAACATAGGTTTAGTGCTCTCAGTATGCAGTATTTCCTTATGAAAGATTCCTGATACAGGTTATTAATTTGTCATCCTTCATGTATGTTTTTTCAACTCTTTATTTTTCCAATCTGTAAAACGCTGATCATAACAGCCACATAATTCAGTGTTTGCCTTATTAGTGATCGCTTACCTTCATGGTCATGGGGGTCACAGTCCCCCATGACCCGATCATGAACAAGCTTCAACAGTGATGATGAATGGCTGTATAGTCTTATAGTTCTTATCGCACACGTGGGAGAGGGGGGGGGGGGGAGAAGCTTAAGACGACTTTTTGGTCGCCATGGACCTTTCCAGTCACACTTTCAAGGAAGATGAAGAGTCAGTATATATATAGGGGAGGAGGCAGGAGACGGAACAAAGAAAGGCGGAAAGAACTGGAGAAGTGGTGGTAGAGGCAATGCTGGGGAATGGAGTAGTAGTAGAAAGTAGTAGTAATCAGAAGTAGTAAGTTCTCTTTTTTTAATCATTCTTTCGTATTAGAGATATTCTTATTTCCTTATAGTTCATCATATAATTTCAAAATGTTATAGGGCCTTACATATAAAACCCACGGACTTGCGCTATGATTTAGTTGTCGCAAACCAAATCTCAAATTTCTGCTTGATAGGCGTCGAGTTACTTTCATTTCCGATATTGAGCTTTTGCAGTTTTCACACGAGTGCTTTGCTTGCTTTTATTAGCAAATTGCCTAGTCCAACTAGTCGAAGTACACAGACCCCCCCCCCCCCCCCCCCCCCCCCCCCCCCATGTGGGCCCACCCCCCACCCCCCCCCCCCCCCCCTGTATTGAATTTGTTGATGGGCTACTTTTTGTCGTCGTCAGCAACTACCTAATGTACTTTTTATTCGGAGTTTGAAACTGAACCAGTGGAAAGTCACTTGATTGTTTTCCTTCCAGCTGATGTGTTGTGTACTTGCAGTATGGTTCGTGGACATGATGGTGGGGACTCAGCGGTGTGGACTACTCAGAGCTAACGTCCTGGCTGTACTTGGCTACTTTTGCGACCACTTAGTCTCTGATACCTTCTCCATCGCATGGCAAAGGTTTTCCTCTTAGGGTTAGAAGAGTACCATATGATCTTCACTCTCAGGGTCAAGTACCATATGGTTCTCCTCCGGGTTGTGTTTTGAATTGTCTCATAGGAAACACGGATAGACTTCATCACGTCAAGGACTGACGAAAAACAGGAATTTTTTTGCTGTTAATATTACTCCATAACAGGTAAATTTTCTTTGTAGTAACAAAACGTCTTTTATTATATATATATATATATATATATATATTATATATATATATATTATATATATATATACTAATATACTATATATATCTATATATTTTTTTTTTTTTTTAACAGTCGGCCGTATCCCTCCGAGCAGGGTGACCCAAAAGAAGAAAATCCCAAAAGAAAAACTTTCATATCATTCAACACTTTCACCACACTGCAGATTATCACTGTTTTTGCAGAGGTGCTAGAATAAAACAGTCTAGAAAAAAGAATACACATATAGATACACAACCATATCCCTCAAACTGCCAATATCCCAAACCCCTCCTTTAAAGTGCAGGCATTGTACTTCCATTTCCAGGACTAAGTCGCTATATGAAAATCACCGGTTTCCCTGAATCTTCATAAATATTACCTGCTCACACTCCAACAGATCGTCAGGTCTCCAAGTACATTCGTCTCCATTCACTCCTATTAACACGCTCACGCTCGCTTTATTTGCTGAAGTCCAAGCCCTTGCCACAAAACCTCTGTACCCCCACTCTCCAACCTTTCGAGGGACGACCCTACCCGCCTTCCTTACCCTATCGATTTATTGCTTTCATGTCATTCTACTTTGAATCCATTCTCTCTAA